TCACCTTAATGACACAAAGGGATCAAATAAGCACATAATCAAGCTTCCAATTAATTAACACAAATTCATATTAGTTTGATGTAAATTATACACATAAAAGTAATAAAAATTAATACTTATCACTGGTCAAGGGAAAAAAAAATCTCAATTCAACAAAAAATGTCTTCTTAAATTTTTAGTCGGAAAACATTTTCTAGATTCTTTATTGTTCAGTCTATCTTTTTTCTCTCATATCTCTTCAAACTAGTTTCTGGATTATTGTTATTGTTGTTATTATTTTATATAAAAAATAACTTTATAATATATTTATGAGTTAATTACCAAAATGGTCCCTTGACTATAGCGAAATTACCGATTTGGTCCTTGACTAATTTTATTACCCAATTAAGTCCTCCGACTATGAAAATGTTAACCAAGTTAGTCCTCCGTTAAGTCAATGGTCTAATATCTGTTAAATGTGAGGGTAATGCGGGAATTTCACTTCTCTCCTCAGGCTGCCCAGACTGCCCAGGCTGCCCATGTAATTAGAGTCGAATGTTTGGTTCAAGACTTGAAGATTAAAAATCCCTAATTTGCAAAATCTACATCGCTGCAAAAGGTTTGGTCCGACAAAGGCCGTTAGGGCGAGATCAAAGATTCATCGTGTGCGACTATGGCCCTTCGCAGGGAGAACGTTGCTGCAAATCTTCACGCCGCGCGAAAAGAAGATGAAGATCGGAGAAGATATCCAATCACCCACTGCTTTAGAATGCTCTACTCTGATCTGCCCTCGCCGGAGCTGTCCACGCTGGAGACAGAGGGTATCACCGTCGTTGCCTCTCGCTAGAAAACACGCAGTCGACGGGGAGATCTCCGCCAGCCCGCGCCACCTGCAGCTACCGACTCCTGCCATCGACCAAAGGGGAAAAGGGACTGAGGACAGATGCTGGCTCATCTCGCTGCTCGCCAAGCTCGCCGGAAGGATGCTGCCCGCCACCGCTGCTGGTCGCAGTCAGATCTCAGAGGTTGCTCTGGGCATGTGCGGTTGGGTGAATTGGGGCAGGAAATTAAATCTGCTTTAATTTTTTAATTTATCACTTCAAAAGCTGAAAAACATGGACCAAATTAGGAATTTGCTTTGTTACCTCCATGATTTGGGTGGCTAACCAGAAGACGTCAAATTCCATTTAAAAAAATAATAGCAAAAAACATCAGTCCACTTTGATCGATTTGGAGGCTTGTCGTCGGACGGTAAGCCTGGGCTGAGCTTCTCTTCGTTGAAAGCGAAACTGAGCAAAGAATCTGCAGAGTATCATGGCGCGGAGGAACTCTACTCATCGTCTAAAATCAGACTGAGCTATCACTTCACCTTCGCCAGTATCTTCCACCTGAGGAACATCTACAATTACCAGTTCTAGGCTTCCAACACAACTCGCCGCCGGTTGACACGAAGAAGATGGAGAAAGTGGTGGTGAAATTCCCACAATACCCTCACATTTAACATATGTTTGACGGCTGCCCAACCAAAGGACCAAATTGGTTAACATTTTTATAGTTGGAGGACTTAATTGGGTAACAAAAATAGTCTAGGACCAAATCGGTAATTTCACTATAGTCAAGGGACCATTTTGGTAATTAACTCTATATTTATGTTCATTTTCAAGAAAATATAAAAATGTAATTTCTTAACTTTTAGTAACTGCAATTTATCTTGTTTACTAAAATAATTTTTTTCAAATTGAAAAATGGAGAATTGATCACCATTTTTCTAGAATTTGGAGAATCCATTTAACTAATTCTCCAAATTTAGAGAAATGGAGAATGTAGATTCACACTTCAATTCCTTGCAACAACATTATATTTCTAACTCTTTTGTTCTTAGAGAAATTAAAAATTAGAGAAATGAAAAATTGGAGAAACGAAAAACTGAAAAAATGAAAAATAGAAAGATGAAGTAATCGAATGAGCTGAGTAGGCCAAGCACCAGAAAATTAAAATATTTTTTAAAAATATCTTTCAGATTTTCAAACGGATCAATTTATTTTTAATATATAAGTTTAACTTTTAAAATTATTAGTGTTACTCATGATATTCGCACTATGTTGTAGGAGCTTGACTCTATTACTCTTTCGTTTGTGCGTCGAGGTGGTAATGTCCAGGCTCATAGAATGGCAAGAATGGCTCTATGTAATCCGAGCTTTGATCGTTGTTTGAACTTTTCGATTATATTCCTCTTTGTATTTCTGGGTGCATGAACTTTTTGAATTAATATATGAAAGGTTGTTGTTTTTTCAAAAAAAAATTAAAATAATAAAATTGTTAGTGTTAAACGTTTAGCAAATTAATTTTGATAAGTTAAGCTGCATACTAATCCAAAATTTAGATTCCCATAACTTTTTTTCCTGGGTTAGTGTTTTGTTTTTAAAATACAAAATTATTTTAGGTAAGCTGGTGATATCAAGTGGCTAATTTGAATGTTTAAAATAAAAACAAAATTACAATCATCGAATAATGGGCAGGAGAGAATAATAAAATAGAAACAAAATTCCACGATTATAATTTATTTATATATGGTGAAGTGAGAGTGGCAGGGTGCAGGGTTAGTTGAATCATGTGAAACACTCAGAGCAGTAATTGCACAATATTTCCAAAAAATAATACTAAAATATGAAATCCAAGAAATGGTGATATTAGTGATGATGTGCATAAAAACAATATCTTCTAATGGCAGCAGCAGGCCGTAGGCCCTACCGCACATCATTTTTATTTTATTTTATTTTTGTTATCAAATGTAAGCGCTGTGATCTTCATGTGGCATAAAAGATTAAGGTTGTAGGCCAGGGGGTGATTCAATATTTGCTGGCTCTGCACTGCAAAATATGCTAAATTATTTCCACCAACACCATTTGTGTTTGGACTTTTTCTTCCCCACCTCCACTCTCATAACCAAGAAATATATGCCTTCACTAAACCCAATCAAATTTATCATACTGTTAACTTTGTAACTATAACATTACATGTTTTATTCTCAATTGGAGTTGACCTATTGGTCTTCTTATTTTAAGTCGGTCAATTATGAACAACATAAACTGATTTGAGTTGGTCCTTTGCCGGTTAAGGTCAGATTTGAGCGGACAATTTGCTAGTTAGGGTCACAAATTATGATCAACCTAGGCTGGTTTGAGTCGGTCTTTTGCCGGTTAGAGTTTATGAATTTTGGGCAACATAGACTAGTCTGAGCTAATCCTTTGCTGGTTAGGGTCAGGTTTGAGCTGATTCTCTGCCGGTTAGTCACAAGATAGAATTTAATTACTCAATGCACATTCTCGAGTAGTGGGTGCAAGTTTCTCTCTTCACTAAAAAAGGAAAAAATATATATATATATGCAGTAGTCCTTTTGTTATAATATAAATGTAATGCTGAGCAGATGTCATCTTGATAGGATTATTTACCATTTATGGCATATAAGCTGGTTGTATAAATCAGAAAATTTTAGTGGGGGGAGGGCCCCATCATGGATTCTGCATTTCTGATCTGCTTTGGGTTAAGTTAAGTTGCTTCAACTCCTCCCAACTCATTATATTCCTCACCTCATCCATCTGCACCGGCCAGAATTGTAATAGATTCTTGGAAGCTGGCTTAGCTTGCACCAATGTTGGCCTGAGAGCCATCGAAACGTGACACTGACTGCTAAAATGATGTTATTGTTGCCGTTATTGCACTGATCGAGTAAATTAAATATGGTCCAACGGGTGGTTATTACATCATGTTTTTGGACATCTAGGTAGGATCTAGGTATAGGTTATTACATAAGTTGATGATGGTGGTGAGGACAAGAGCTATTCTAACGTTGTCTGTCATGTGTGGCATGCAGCCTGAGCAGTACAGTGGTCGGTGGTGAACATGAATATGAATGTATATATGACAGTAGATGAGAAGTGAAGTTTAGGGATTATTACATATATGCATAGTTTTACAGGTAAGTAAGAATTGAAGTCTATACTACGTTGAAACCCCACCTCTGAAGGCCCAGAGTTGTTATCCTCCTGACAAATGTCATGTGACTGTGGGGTTACCTTTCAACCAAAAGAATTGAAGTGTAAATCTTTCAACCCAAAGCTATAGCTTTTCACTTGAGTACCATAACTCATTACTTTCTCTACTCATCTTGGTTCATGCACCTTTACTGTACATACTCATCTTCAATACCTTGCATCTCATCCCCCCTAAAAAAACAAATAAAAAAAAAAAAAAAAAAACCCTTTTTGGATTTCATTAATGAAATAGTTGCATAGATAGGTTTGGTTAGTTAACCCGACTTTAATATATCATATAATTAGGGTTACGAGACTAGGTTATATCATTAATTAAATCAGAATGATTTAATTGCCCATATGATAATGATTTTGTTACTTATGATTCCAAGTTGGAGTACTATCTTGCTTCTTGCTTCTTAATTAGAAGCATTGTTTTATTTTATTTTTTAAAAAATATTTTTATGTAAGTCATGTAAAGCAGGCTGCACCATCACTAGTGCACTAAAAGCATGTCAAAGGTGGAAGCCCCTGGTGCAGTGTACATTGTGTTAACAAAAAAGGGGAAAACATTAAAAAATTAGGAGTATTCAAAGATGATAGCATATTATATATTAAAAATGAAGACAAGTGGCTTGCTACTAATTGAATTGTTCTATATATGGACAGATCAAATGAGAACCACCTCTCCCGTCTAAATTACCTATATTTTTATAATATTTACTATATATTTGTGAATAAGTGACTGTGTATCTTAAAAACAGATATTTTTGTAATTAAGATTGTGCACTGTAGTGTTTGATTGTACATTTTATAATTTTATAATTGTGTATCATAAAATGCATGATTATGCAGTAGTTCACAGGTTCTCACCAAAACTATTATATATATATATATATATATATATATATATATATATATATATATATATATATATACACATTGTGTACATGTGTACACACAGTCACTGACATTCTTACACTACCATAGTACACCCCTTCCTCCTTGATCCCTCTGTTCCTATTTCCTCTTACACAAAAAACCTGTCGGAAAGCATGGACGTTAACCTCATGAAATCATCATCGGAAAACGAAATGGAGATAATGACACTGCTGACCATGCGCCCCAATAATCCTCCTCATCAGCCGCTCGACGACAACCTAGGATTCTCAATCCACAATCCTTACGGCGGCGCCACCTTGTCGTTCTCGGGGGTTGAGCAACACCCAGTCGGCGCCGCCGCCGCAGATCCGCCCCGGCACAAAAGCTCATCAAACGGCGGGTCCATGGAGGCGATGAGGGAGATGATCTTCCGCATAGCGATGATGCAGCCCATCCACATAGACCCGGAGTCGGTGAAGCCGCCGCGGCGGAAGAACGTGAAGATTTCGAAAGATCCGCAGAGCGTGGCGGCGCGGCACCGGCGGGAGAGGATTAGCGAGAAGATAAGGATCCTGCAGAGACTGGTTCCCGGGGGAACGAAGATGGACACGGCGTCCATGTTAGACGAGGCGGTGCATTACGTGAAGTTCCTGAAGAAACAATTGGAGTATTTAGAGGCGGCGGCGAGTGGGCCGACGACGATTGCGGCGGCGGCGCCGGGGTTTCCGACAACAATGTCGCCGACATTATTGGATATGAATATGAATATGAATCTCATGAATTATTATTCATCATCATCGTCGTCGGGCTCCATGAAAGCCGCCTGCCAGGCTGTTCCATCAATGGGGTCTAACTTACAAATGTTAAGTTAGTTATATATGTTTCAACTCCATCGATCTCTCTCTGTACTTTTGTTTCATTACTGTACTTTAATTTACCAGATTCCTCGATCTACAACAACTGCTAGCTACCTAGAAATGAAATTATTAGTGTGTAAAACTTTGGTCAGATTTCCTGCACGTGATTCTGAAGCCATTTATGTAACCTTAATCTCAAATTCAGAAGAAAATTATGCTTTGAATTGAAGACATATATCACTGTAACATATATATGACTCCACCACTTGACCACACATGAATATATATTATGCAGCAGACCTGCACCGCCCTAAAATAATAATCATCCCTCTTTGTCTGTGCAACACCTACTCTAATAATAAAGAAATTTCTTCTTCTCTTCTTCTTCTTCTTCTTCTTCTTCTCCTTCTCTCTCCATCCCCTCCACCCAAACATTCCATTTCTAGCATAGTTATTGGTAGCCCCCAAAGAATCGAGTCCAACATCCTGCAATCCAAACGTGACGCTGCCCGTTATAGTTGGAAATTATGGAATTTCCGACCACTTGAAAGTGATCTTAAATCAAGTCAAAAGTCTTGTTCTGACCACTTTTGGTATCCGAAAAAACCTTTGTTGCTATTTCTGACCACTTTTTGCTTTCGACTTGATTTAAGATCACTTTTAGGTAGTCGTAAATTCCATAATTTCCAGCCGTGGTATAAGGAGTATCACTACTGAAAATTATGAAATTTCTGACCGCCCGAAAGTGATCTTAAATCAAGTCAAAAGCCTTGTTCCGACCACTTTTGGTATCCGGAAAAACCTTTGTTGCTATTTCCGTCCACTTTTTGGTATCAACTTGATTTAAGATCACTTTCAGGTGGTCGGAAATTTCATAATTTCCACTAGTGTATAAACAATTGAGTCCAACTTCTTGCAATCTAAACATGACGCTGCATGCTAAGTCAGTATAATAATGAGTATAAAGAAATAAAGTTATGTGTTTGCTATTAACTATAATTTTTAGAGTAAATACTTGATGTGACAATTAAAACCAGGCCACGAGTTCGATTGTATACAACAACCCAAAAGCATATATTATAATATTACTTCACAATTTTTTTGTGTATGCTTAAAAATAAAATTTTCGTGTATAATTCGATCAATTAGTTATTGTTACAATTATGTACTTTGTATAAACTTATTATTATTATTTGTATGTAAAATAGGTATAGCATCTTAGATGGAATGTTATATAGGCATCTAGAATGTTGTTTAATTTATATATAATAATGCTAGTGAAAGAATAAATGTATTTTAAGTGTGAGTTCCCATATCCAAAAAGCAAAAACAATAATGGACCAAGTTAAATTAATGAGACATGAAGTATGGGAGATAGAAATGTTAGTTGGGTGAGTAATATATAGTACGTGAGGTAGGTTTGCAACCCAAGAAAGGGTCTAATAATGGAAATGTTGATGTTTCAAAGACCAAAGCTGCCTGCTTTGATAGAAGCCAATCTTGTTAGTGTATCCCCTCTCCCTGGAGGAATTGAATTAGATCTTCAATCTAAAAACCGGCCATGAATTCAAAATTAATGAATGAATGCATGCATGCATGTACCACAAAACTCCAGTCTCATATGGACATCCCATGAGACCATTTTATCCTAAGGTATGGGTAGCCTCAACCTTCCATGCCGTTAACATAAAAATTAAACAAGTGTATAGTTAATAGTTATATAGTGATATATGATGGTAAGTCTGGTTGAATTTATTCGGCCTTGAATATTACTTGTCACATATAAAATATATTGGATCTCAACTTTTTTTTTTTCTTTTCATACGGAATATTGCTTTCTACCAATTAAGATACTAATGACATATTACGGTTAGTTGTTGCATGCCCTCAAAATTATTATTTGACAATTTTATTCCCATCTGATCTTTACATTTTAAGGGATGATGGATGATGGGTGGCGGACGAGGGGCACTGTGCTCATCCTTGTACCTGACCACTATCCTCGTCTTTGGTCAACTTGAAATCTTAGAACGCATTTTGCATATCTTAGAAATGCATGATCTAGGTAATTTGTTAACATATTTTGAAACACTATGTCTATAATTATAAGGGTAAAATGGTAAGATAGAACAATTGTAATAGTATTTCGTGGATGGATGTAACAATATTACAAATGATGTTTTGTAGTAAAATTGGACATGATTTTTCTAGGCCAAGGCAATGGCCATTTATACCTAGAAGATCTATAAATTCTAAGTTGTAGATCCATAATTATTATGGATCTACAACATAGAAATTATGAATCTTCATAATTTTTATACTGTAGATTCATAATTTCTATACCGTACTGTAGATTCATAATTTCTACAGCATAGAAATTATGGATCTACTCCTGTGTTCACCATGCGTATGGTGAGCACGTTTTCACAGCATAATTTGCGACGGGTTGCACAACCTAGCCAAAGCCCACCATTATTCTGGACAGGGAGACGGGCTCTAGCTAGGACAAGAATGGATAGTGCTGGGGCAGCTTCGGAGGCCGGCCCCGCGTTGCCAATCCTAGACCACCTATTTGGGTTCGAGTGGTGTTGTGGGGCCCTGCATCTCTATTCTTGGACCGTTTTTAATATCTCCATCACTTACCTAGAAATGTGTGATCTGGGTAATTTGTTAACATACATATTTTGAAACACTATGCACTACTAGAAATTATAGAATTTTCGACCACTAAAGTAATCTTAAATCAAGTCGAAAGCCTTGTTCCGACCACTTTTGGTATCCGGAAAAATCTTTGTTGCTATTTCCGACCACTTTTTACTTTCAACTTGATTTAAGATCACTTTCAGGTGGTCGAAAATTCCATAATTTCCAGTATATGTTTAGAACCTAATCAAATTGTAATCAATTAGTAGTCTTTAAGAATTTGGTTTCTAATTATATTGAAGGCATTCAATGCTCGCTCTTAGCTTGTACAAACATCATAGAATAAGGGTCATAAAGAGTTCACAATTTCTGACACACAATGTTAGATATATTAAATATAATATATTTAATATAATGTATATTAAATATAATATAATATATCTATAATATATATTAAATATAATATATCAATATATTATATTTATATATTGAGAGAGAAGAGAGAGGAATGAATAATGTTATTTGAAGGGATGATTAACAAATGAATACAAACCACATATTTATACTAAATGAAAGCTACTAATCAGGAAGCTAATGCTCCACGTACTAATGCTATAATTTAGGTCACTCTTCACATACAATGCATGACCCACACCCATTATTTCCAACAAATTAACTAATTATTAATTACTTGCTTGGTTTAATAATTATAATAATAATATTATTATAACATTGCCTCCTTTAAACCAAGTTGGATATATTGGTCATTCCAATTTCCTTCTTCAATTTGAGAAATGTCTCTGTCTTCAGCGGCTTCGTAAAGATATCTGCAACTTGACATTCACTTGAACAATACTCAATGTTGATTTGCTTTTCAGCAACCAACTCTCTGATTTTGTGATACTTGATATCAATGTGTTTGCTGCGACCATGAAAGACTGGATTTTTGGACAACGATATTGCTGATTTGTTGTCACCAGAATCCGTGCATTTGACATACAAAGTGTGTTCATGAGGACATCTCACAAAACCACTTTCAACAAAATATGAGTCAATGCAACCATACCACGCCCTAGGCGCTTGCTTTAAGCCATACAAGGCTTTTCTCAACCTGTACACTTTATTTTCCTCCCCTTTCTTCAGAAATCCTGCAGGTTGCTCAACATATATTTCTTCTTCAAGAAAACCATTCAAAAAAGCAGACTTGACATCCATTTGATGTAATTTCCAATCATTTTGAGCAGCAAGATAAATAACCATTCGAACTGTATCAAGTCTACTTACAGGAGCAAAAACCTCAAAATAATCAATACCTGGTTTCTGCTTGTAACCCTTTGCTACTAACCGTGCCTTAAAACGGTCAATTTCTCCATTTGACTTGTACTTCGTTCTGTAAACCCACTTCACTCCAATTGGCTTCTTTCCAGGAGGTAAATTTGTTAACTCCCAGGTACCATTCTTTTCAATGGCACGTATTTCCTCATCCATCGCCTTAAGCCAATGAGTTTCTGTAGCAGCCTCCTCAAAAGTTAAAGGATCACAATCTGCAAAGAAAGCAAATTGAACAATCTCTTCATCAGACAGGTCATTATCATGACCCAAAACATAATCTTGCAAGCGAGCTGGTAAGTGGCGCTCGCGCTGAGATCGCCGAACTGACGATTCTGGCTGTGAGGGAGACTGGACATTATCTGGAATCGTTTGCTCTTCAACAATATTTTCAACAGCAGGAATAACAACTGAACTTTCATCTTTAGCTAACCAATCCCAAGCACCATATTCATCAAAAGTGACATCACGACTTATAACAACCTTTTTAGTTTCAGGATTGTATAGTTTATAAGCCTTTGAAGCGTCACTATAACCAATGAATATGCACTTCTCACCTTTATCATCCAACTTCTTTCTCAATGGATTCGGCACGTGGGCATATGCCAAACATCCAAAAACCTTGAGATATTTGATAGAGGGTTTTCTCCCACTCCAAGCTTCTTAGGGCGTCTTATCACGGACACTCTTAGTTGGACACCTATTCAACACATAGACAGCACAAGCAACAGCTTCTGCCCAAAAAGGCTTAGGCAGATCCTTAGATTTCAACATGCACCTCACCATATCCATGATTGACCTATTCTTCCTCTCAGCCACTCCGTTTTGTTGTGGAGTGTATCTAGCTGTCATTTGGTGCTGAATACCCTTTTCTTTCAGAAAATTATCACAAGCAATATATTCTGTACCTCTATCAGTTCTCAAGATTTTAACTTCATAACCACTTTGCTTTTCAACAAAAGCCTTAAATTGTTTGAAAACATCACATGCTTCAGACTTTTGCTTCAGAAAGTAAACCCATATTTTCCTACTAAAATCATCAATGAAAGTAATAAAGTACTTACAACCTCCATATGAGGGAACCTCCAACGAACACAGGTCTGAGTGAACAATCTCCAACTGTTTTGTGGCTCTCCTTGACTTGCCCACGGGAAAGGGATCTCTATGCTTCTTCCCAATCACACAAATCTCACAGATACGATTAGGGACATTCACAACAGGTAAATCAGAA